TAAAGATTACTTACTTTAACTCCCAAAGCCGTCCTTTGGTCTTTAGCATTAGCTTTCAACAAACTGTTTTAGCTGTTTCTAAAGTTAGATTCATTCATTTTAGCACATAGTAAAAGTGAGTAAAGGTCCAATAAAAAAAAAACTGGTTGAAAGCACAAGACTTAAATGGAGCAGTCGAAATGACTGCTTTTCTAGTGGTTGTCTATTTTATTACTGTTCAGTAAATCTAAATATGTGTCAGCCTTTATCTGACGATTGTATCAATCACTAAAATTATCTCTTTGTTTGATTGGAAGAAGCTTCTTTATATCAAGCTACACATGGTCACCAGAGGGCAGCAGAGAACAGCCAATATACACACGACCACCAGAGGGCAGCAGAGAACAGCCAATATACACACGACCACAAGAGAGCAGCAGAGAACAGCCAAGATACACACAACCACCAGATGGCAGCAGAGAACAGCCAATATACACACGACCACCAGAGGGCAGCATAGAACAGCCAATATACACACGACCACCAGAGGGCAGCATAGAACAGCCAATATACACACGACCACAAGAGGGCAGCAGAGAACAGCCTATATACACACGACCACCAGAGGGCAGCACGATGAGGCCACGGCAGCTGTGAGACACCTCGTTGTTAAAACCCTCTCTGCTGCATTAAACATGCGGCTTATTTTCAGGAGTCTTTTGGTCCAGAAAGTCCAGTATTTCACAGCCTCATGAATGTGTGTTGTGTACAGTTGGCCTCATGAAGCAGCAGAGCGGGTTTGACCGGAGCGTCCTGTGGAATGTGTGGAATGTGTGTCCTGCACCCATCCTTACAAGAGGCCAGTGATGTCATAGACCAGAGCCCAGCTGCTCTGCTGTGTGTGTGTGTGTGTGTGTGTGTGTGTGTGTGTGTGCGTGTCTGTGTGTGTATATTTGGTGAAAGTCCAAAGTGTAATACTTCACAAATCAGAAACAGTGACATTGTAGCAACACATCGTTTTGAAATTACAGTAACAATGACACATTGAAGAAGATGACAAAGTCTGGGATCGCATCTTTAATTCAGACAGAAGACATGTTTTATTGTCGATGGTAGAGACAGCACGAACAAAGCACACGAACACAGATACAACAGAATGCAAGTGTATTATACAGAGCGGAGGCATGGAGTCCTCCAATCAGCAGCTGCCACAGTGCCATGTAGCCTGGCCTTCAGATAGACAAAACAAGGGAAAAGTACAGGCTTCTGCACATTGATAGAATGATGAGTTTAACTTTAACAAAAGTTGCTTAAAAGTGTTATGAAATCTCATAACATCATGGATAATGTTTTTGAAGTCTCTTTCCCAACACTGCACAGTACTAACCAGGTCTCCCATCACAGTACTAACCAGGCCCTGTCCTGCTTAGCTTCAGAGTTTTGACCGGATCTTACTTTGACCAGCAGGTGGCGCCACACACAGAACAACTGTCCTCCTGTAACTTGTCGTTTGTCCAACATCGTCTCGTCAAAGTTGCTGTCATCCTGTCATTAGAAAACACGTCAGTGAGAGATCCCTGTGAGTCACTATTTGACCCCTGAAGACACAGATGTGACCAAACATACATGAAAGGGATGGAACCAAATAAGAGAGAGAGAAAAGATAGAATGGATTTTATTACACAGTTCCATTTGTCGTTGCTTGAAGGTTTTCTTGCCCAGCTTTATGTACAGGGGAGAATGGCTGAGTGGTTAGCCCTCTCGTTTCCTCCGGGTGCTCCGGTTTCCCCCACCACTAAAAACGTACAATAGATCTGAATGTAATGAGTGGGTGAGTGTGTGTGCTTCCGTCATTACTGTGTGGAGAGAACAATATCTGAACTCTGAACATTGTAAAGTGCTTTGGGTGACATCGGTCTGTAAAATGCACTATATAAATAAACATTACTCACTTACTTTAAGTATTGTTTAAACTTTCTCAGTAAAGTGCCACGTCCTGTGTGACTGCAGCCTCAGTGTCTGTACGAAAGCCTCATACTCATATTGGGTCGTCTTGCTAACAATTATTATTAGCGCACAAACCCGTCCTGCCCTTCTCTGGCCTTCATTAGCACAGACTGTAGCGCTCGCACCAAACTCAGCCTTAATCCTGGGTTTAAAAAAGCTGCAAGACGACAGTCGCTGCGTGTTTCAGCAAATGTTTTGAACGCGCCGCAGGAAACGCTGCGAGAACAGGTGGAGGCTGCGGCGGCGGCTGCTTTAGCTTCAAGAGACACGACAACTGGGAGACTGCTGTACGACAGATCTGTGTGCGACACTGGTGACACTACAAGCCAGACCCCTCTGAAGCTAAGCAGGGCAGGGCCTGGTTAGTACTGTGACGGGAGACCTCGGGGAACACCAGGTTCCCCAGTGGGGCAGCTGTGGCTGTAAAGTGCCAAACTGTGGTTGTGTTCTTAGGCAAGACACTTCACCCATTGCCTAGTGTGAGTCTTGAGTGTGTAAATGGTTGGTGGTGGTGGGAGGAGCTGATAGCACAGACTGGAAGCCTCGTTTTTGCCAGTGTGCCCCAGGGCAGCTCTGGCTACAGTAGTGGGTTATCATCACAGTGTTTGGAGTGGGAGAATAATGTGAATTGTTGTTTCTGAAAAACACTGTACAAAACTGATGCATTATTATCATTATCATCATTAATACCATTATTATCATTATTATTAGTATTATTATTATCACTGGTGACCAGTGTATTGGGCCCACAGTGGGAGAATCCTGAGTCTCACCTTGTGCTGCGTGTTGTTGAACAAAGATTCAGTTTTCTGAAGCATGTATCCCTGAAGCCGACGGTGGACTGTACTGAGGATGTACCAGACATGAGATTGGTTCAGCTCTTCTGAAAGCTACACAACATACAACGTTCTGAGGCTTTTGGCCAAAGCTCAGATTCCCAAGTTTGTTGTTTAAATCAAATCAATTTATTTGTCCCAGGAGGTGAGGGAAAGCCCCAACCCTCCTGAGACAGGCCCCTCCCTCCTGGGACAGGCCCAGTGTGGTGCGTGTGACCCGCTGGACCATATGTCTTGAGGGTGAGGTCACTGGCTCTGATTTCATTTGAATCGTCCGAGAGGATTTCATGAGTGCATCAGAGTCCAGACATGTTTAACTGTAGCTTACTGAGCACCTTCTATTCTGAAGCTCTGTGCGGAGGCTTCTGGACTTTAAAGTGTTCATTATTTATTTCTGACCCAGTGCAGTTCTAACATGTGCACAGAGGCCCTGGTCTCTGTGAAACACTCTATTTCAACAACATTGTGCTGAATATTGTTTATACAGCCTGTTTCAAATGTAATCTACATTTAGACCCAGGACTGAGGCTGGATCTACAGCCTCAGTCCTGGACCTACAGTCTCAGTCCTGGGTGTACAGTTTCAATCCTGGATCTACAGTCTCAGTCCTGGATCTACAGCCTCAGTCCTGGATCTACAGCCTCAGTCCTGGACCTACAGTCTCAGTCCTGGGTCTACAGTTTCAGTCCTGGATCTACAGTCTCAGTCCTGGATCTACAGCCTCAGTCCTGGGTCTACAGCCTCAGTCCTGGGTCTACAGTCTCAGTCCTGGGTCTACAGCCTCAGTCCTGGGTCTACACAGCCTCAGTCCTGGGTCTACAGCCTCAGTCCTGGGTCTACAGCCTCAGTCCTGGATCAAACGTGGCTTTGATTCTTCAGAACGTTTCTGAGACCTCTCTCTGTAACCTCTCTCTCTCTGTAATCTCTCTCTCTGTAACCCCTCTCTCTGTAATCTCTCTCTCTGTAACCTCTCTCTCTGTAATCTCTCTCTCTGTAACGTCTCTCTCTCTGTAACCTCTCTCTCTGGCTGTGTCCAAAACGCTAGGCATCGTGACGTCACTTCCTCAAGCGACGGCTATTGCAGGGGTGTCCAAAACCACTTGGCGAGCTCGCCAAGCGTAGGCATCATGACTTCGTCTCTATGGAAACGGCCACTTTTGGAGCAGATATGAAGGATGCATCTGATGTATGCTTCGTTGCCTTCTTTTTGCCAAGTCACGACCGCGCATGCGCAGAACTCCGTTCGGCATTAACATGTAAACAACAGCTCGGAGCTGCTGGAGCTAACATTATGGTAAGCACTGCTATACTTTACTGTGAAGTTATGTCTATAGTAAGTACTGCTATACTTTACTGTTGAGTTATGAACACGACTGTTATGATAAAACACAGACATAAGTTAGATCTGCCACAGATGTGTGTATTTAACCTTGTTATCTGCTGTAAATAAGCTCAGTCCCGAGAAGCTAATGCTACGAGGCTAGTTCATTCAGATTCGGTTTTTGAACAAGAAAAATCATGTTGTGTTTTATGTTTAGGGAGAAACAAACCCACTGATTAAATATTAAAGCTACACTGAGGAGAGATTCACGTTTTCATGGAAAATCACTCTGCAGCACAGCAGCTATATTATGCTAAACACATGTTTTCTGTATTCATATAAAATAGATTGTGCATATCGTTTTTAATCCCATACTGAGACTGGGAAAACTGTATATATTAGACATATGAAATTATACAATAGGCCAAGAATAATTATAAAGCCCTTTTCATACAATAGTCAAATAAATAGTAAACACACATTATACAGAGGTTTCGTTTGTCATTAATAAGAAATTTGCAGAGGACAAAGTCCCACTTCCACAAACACAGGTTTAAAGTGGTTAGCCATGCTTCTAACTTGATTATTTGTGTATATTTCTATCATATCATTCTTCTGTTTCCCCTGCTGTGAAGCTTGTACCTCTAATATTAAATACTGTAAGGATTTCTGTCTTTTATTTTTAACCAGTTTTTTGCAAAGCCCCAAATAAATAGTATTAATTGAATATGAAGTGTAAAAAGAATCCTAAATGTGGGCTGTGTTTTAATGCATGATGTTTGTGTTCTTCTTTTTCAGAGACTTGTGGTGAAATTAAGGTCATAATTTCTCCTGCTTCACCTCCATCACCTCCTGCTTCACCTCATCACCTCCTGCTTCACCTCCATCACCTCCTGCTTCACCTCCATCACCTCCTGCTTCACCTCCATCACCTCCTGCTTCACCTCCTTCACCTCCTGCTTCACCTCCTGCTTCACCTCCATCACCTCCTGCTTCACCTCCTGCTTCACCTCCATCACCTCCTGCTTCACCTCCATCACCTCCTGCTTCACCTCCTTCACCTCCTGCTTCACCTCCTGCTTCACCTCCATCACCTCCTGCTTCACCTCCATCACCTCCTGCTTCACCTCCTGCTTCACCTCCATCACCTCCTGCTTCACCTCCATCACCTCCTGCTTCACCTCCTGCTTCACCTCCATCACCTCCTGCTTCACCTCCATCACCTCCTGCTTCACCTCCTGCTTCACCTCCTGCTTCACCTCCATCACCTCCTGCTTCACCTCCATCACCTCCTGCTTCACCTCCATCACCTCCTGCTTCACCTCCTTCACCTCCATCATCTCCTGCTTCACCTCCATCACCTCCTGCTTCACTGCTGAAAACATTATGAACTACAACAAACTTGTATATAATATTTTCCTTTAATCAGCAATCATGAATAGTTAGAACAGTGGGCTCTGCATCTCTGAAGACATGTAGCAGAAGGAGCAGCAGCAGAAGGAGCAACAGGAGGAGTAACAGCAGCAGCAGAAGGAGCAACAGGAGGAGTAACAGCAGCAGCAGAAGGAGCAACAGGAGGAGTAACAGCAGCAGCAGAAGGAGCAACAGGAGGAGTAACAGCAGCAGCAGCAGGAGCAGCAGGAGTAACAGCAGCAGGAGCAACAGCAGCAGGAGCAGCAGCAGAGTCCTGGGCGTCTGCCTCTGACACAGGTCTCATCGACAGCACTTCACAGAGAACCTGGAAATAAAGAAAACTAAAACAAAAATTGTTGGTTTTATTATGATTTTGTTGTTTGTGTGAAATGTAAAGAGTCATCAAAGTGAGGTATTATTTACACAACTACATATTTGTCTGCAGTACTTATACTTATAATTGAATATAATTAAACTCAAATGTGATTATTAACGGTCTGTTTGCTTTTCAAGAGATATAAAAGTGAATAAGAGCAGTGTCAAACATCTGTGTTCAACTTCATTTTACAGATTTCTGTTATTGTTTCCATGGATGTGTCAGTTATTATTATAGATCCATGGATGTGTCAGTTATTATTATAGATCCATGGATGTGTCAGTTATTATTATAGATAAATGGATGTGTCAGTTATTATTATAGATCCATAGATGTGTCAGTTATTATTATAGATCCATGGATGTGTCAGTTATTATTATAGATAAATAGATGTGTCAGTTATTATTATAGATCCATGGATGTGTCAGTTATTATTATAGATAAATGGATGTGTCAGTTATTATTATAGATCCATGGATGTTCCAGTTATTATTATAGATCCATGGATGTTTCAGTTATTATTATAGATCCATGGATGTGTCAGTTATTATTATAGATCCATGGATGTTCCAGTTATTATTATAGATAAATGGATGTTTCTCTCTCATCAGCAAACACACGTTAATACATTTAGGTCTGATAAAATTACTTTTAAGTGATGCACAAACGAGGGCCGTAGCAAATATATAATCCATATCTAATAATCATTTATTGCATATATGTGCATTGTTTACATAAAATATAACTTTGTAAAAACTAATGATTACTGCCAATACAATTGTTATAACAGAGAAAGTGTAACAACAAAAGCATCCTCTGTTTTTTCAGATCCAGGGGGCTCTCATTACCTGAACCCGTGTTTAGACTGTTCTGGGCTTCAGCACTGCAGCTAACTGGGCTGTTAGCTTATAGCACCGGAGCTTCAGGCTGGAGGTAAAGTCCGAAAATTTTCGAATTTATCTCCAAACAGACTTCTGATATGACAATAAAGGGGGATATTTCTCGCCTCAAATGATATTAGAATTAACTTTTATGCCCTAATTAAAGCGTATTTAGAACTTTATACCGTCCATCATGGCCGCCGTGTCCTTCCGCTCCGCTCTGAGTTGTGTAGTCACGTGACGAAGGCAGAAGGCAGCTGCTGTCCAAATCCACATCACGTCTCGCCTCCTACCTCGCCTGTGGCTACGCGGCCTTCCCTCGATGCCTACATATCCACCCTACGCGGCCCGATGCCTACCGTTTTGGACACAGCCTCTGTAACCTCTCTCTCTCTGTAACCTCTCTCTCTCTGTAATCTCTCTCTCTCTCTGTAACCTCTCTCTCTCTGTAATCTCTCTCTCTGTAACCTCTCTCTCTCTCTGTAACCTCTCTCTCTGTAACCCCCCTCTCTCTCTCTGTAACCCCTCTCTCTCTCTGTAATCTCTCTCTCTGTAATCTCTCTCTCTCTGTAACCTCTCTCTCTGTAATCTCTCTCTCTGTAACCTCTCTCTCTGTAATCTCTCTCTCTGTAACGTCTCTCTCTCTGTAACCTCTCTCTCTGTAATCTCTCTCTCTCTGTAACCTCTCTCTCTGTAATCTCTCTCTCTGTAACGTCTCTCTCTCTGTAACCCCCCTCTCTCTCTCTGTAACCTCTCTCTCTGTAACCTCTCTCTCTCTGTAACCTCTCTCTCTCTGTAATCTCTCTCTCTCTGTAACCTCTCTCTCTGTAATCTCTCTCTCTGTAACCTCTCTCTCTGTAATCTCTCTCTCTGTAACCTCTCTCTCTGTAACGTCTCTCTCTCTGTAACCCCCCTCTCTCTCTCTGTAACCTCTCTCTCTCTGTAACCTCTCTCTCTCTGTAATCTCTCTCTCTCTCTGTAACCCCCCTCTCTCTCTCTGTAACCTCTCTCTCTCTGTAACCTCTCTCTCTGTAACTTCTGTAACAGTCGTCTCGGAGAACTTTTCCGGAGTGCTGTGACAGGGGAGAAACTCTGAGTAGAGCCGCTGTTCCTTCATGTCGAGAGGAGCCCACTGAGGAGATGAGGCATTAGTTTGGGAAGCCTCCTCGATGGAACGTGGTCGAATCTCAAATGTATTTCCCCATTCTTTCTTCAATTCTGCAGGAGGAGTGTGTTCAATCCACAGCGGGGTGAGAGGTCGGAGAAGGAGACAGGAGCGGATCCTGACCCTGGTGCCTTTCCTGGACTCCCTGAAGGTGGAGGAGGAAGGTGGAGGAGATGAAGGAGCTGGAGCAGGTGAAAGAGGTGAAGGGGCTGGAGCAGGTGAAGAAGGTGGAGCAGGTAGATGAGCTGGAGGAGGTGGAGGAGTTGAGGGAGGTGAATGAGCTGGAGCAGTTGGAGCAGGTAAAGGTACTGGAGGATGTGAAGGAGGAGGAGGAGGGGGTGAAGGAGCTTGAGGAGGTGAATGAGTTGGAGGAAGTGAAGGAGTTGAGGGAGGTGAATGAGTTGGAGGAGGTCAATGAGTTGAGGGAGGTGAATGAGCTGGAGGAGGTGAAGGAGGTGGAGGACGTGGAGCAGCTGAAGGAGCTGGGGCAGGTGAAGGAGGTGGAGCAGGTGAAGGAGGTGAAGGGGCTAGAGCAGGTGAAGGTACTGGAGGAGGTGAAGGAGGTGAAGGGGCTAGAGCAGGTGAAGGTACCGGAGGAGGTGGAGCAGGTGAAGGTACTGGAAGGAGGAGAAGCTGAAGGAGCTGGAGGAGGTGGAGGAAATGCAATAATAACAAACACATGGAGACATTGGTCCATAAAGAGCAAAGACCGGTGTTTATTAATGTTAATAAATGTTAATAAATGTTTGTAAATGTTTGTAAATGTTTGTAAATGTTAATACATGTTAATAAATGTTAATAAATGTTTGTAAATGTTTGTAAATGTTTGTAAATGTTAATACATGTTTATAAAGTCTAATAAATGTTAAAAATATCGTGGATCATCATTGGAAAGAACAACTCTATAAACCCATGATAATTTCTGTTCCTCAAAAGCTGTTCGGAAGGTTACTGTCGAGCCCACATGGTCCACAGTCTCCTGGTCTGGTGTGTATTAAATACTGGATAAACAGCCACCTGTTTAGTCTCCCATCGGCCCGTCTTAACCAGCTCATTACTGCGAGCAAGCCCAGGAATAGCCCCCTGTAAAGCCCACATTAGTGCTGCCACAGAAGTGTTGATGCTCGTGTGAAATGTGTGGACACTAAACAGCTCAAGGCGAGGGGGGGGGAGGGGTCTGCTCCAGAGGGGATCCAGGTCCAGGGGGGGTCTGCTCAGAGGGGATCCAGGTCCAGGGGGATCCAGGTCTTCTGGGGGTCTGCTCAAAGGTGATCCAGGTCTAGTGGGGGTCTGCTCCAGGGGGATCCAGGTCTCCTCTGGGGGTCTGCTCCAAGGTGATCCAGGTCTAGTGGGGTACTGCTCCAAGGGGATCCAAGTCCAGGGGGGTCTTCTCCAGGGGATCCAGGTCCACAAGGGTCTGCTTTTTAATTTGCCGGTGTTTGAGTGACACGATGCATTAAAGAGGTTATACATGCAGATATGACTGATCAAATGGCTCTATCCCTGGCTCCTGATTGGCTCTTTGGTCGCAGCAAGGTTTTTATGAGATAATTGAACCCTGTTTGAGTCAGCTCTAATGGTCCTGTCCCAATACCCACACTGCACCCTACACTCCTCTACAAGTGTGCGTTTGTTTGAAGTGCACGCAAGGGTTTGAGTGGCAGGTTACAAGCAAAAAAGGCGGAATTGAGACAGTGCAGGTTACGTCTCAGATGGTCATTTTCAGACCCAAACTTTATCAAATTAAGGGTCATTTTGTCCGACCCTGTGGGAAACAAAATGAGTTGCTCCACACACGTTAAACTACATGTATATTGGTTATTCGTAATTTGAGATAGCTGTATAATTTTAATGTAAATGTGGGTAACTAACTGTTATCTGGTAAGTTTTTATACATCCTGAGTGTAAAGTTTAGATTGAATGTTATATAAACGCTTGGATTAAAAAAGTTATGAAATTGTTGCCATAGAATGTCCGTAATTCTTCATCAGATATTTATGCTTCTTTCCAAGTAACATAGCAAAACTTATTAACACACATACAGCATATATATTTCAAAACTTACACATCTTCCCGACGTTTTGGTGTGTACCGCAAAGAATTATCGGCAATATCCTTCGCCAAAGTCCGCTTAGATGCAGGCTACGGCGAAGCGTAAAGGGGCGCAAAGGGGGCGGGGCCAAAGACCTCCCTGGAGAATTGGGACATCCTACGCACTCGCACTCTTTATCGGGAACGCGCAAATGAGGGCGCGAGGGTGGAAGTGCGAGTATTGGGACTGGGCCAATCTCTCAGGACAGTTCAAATCCATAAGGCAGTGTTTTTTAACCAGTGGTCCATGGCCCGTTAGTGTGGCTTGGATGTTGTTGTTACTGCTTTAAAGAAGCTATAACCGTTTCTGCAAGGTTTGAATGTTTAGCACCGCCCCTCAACTCGCTCACAGGCTTCTCATTTCCCCATCGCTCTCATCCCACGGAGCCATCTAGTTTTATTTGCGATCTATATGCAAACATTAGCAAGAGCGCAACTTCTTGTAAGCTCTACGACAATCACTGATGAAATGGTACAAAAGTACTGCTAACTTAATATATAACTGAACGATTGCCGCTAGTTCCGCGTCCGAATGTAGTCCGAGCATAGATAGCCCGAGCGTAGATAGTCCGAGCATAGATAGTCCGAGCATAGATAGTCCGAGCATAGATAGTCCGAGCATAGATAGTCCGAGCATAGATAGGCCGAGCGTAGATAGACCGAGCGTAGATAGTCCGAGCGTAGATAGTCCGAGCATAGATAGTCCAAGGCGGTCCCGCAGGTCTCTCCCATAGACAAGTCTCTCCTGAGGATATGATGTAAGCTAGCTATGTTCAGGGCTTGATTTCTTCTTTGTTCATTTTTTTGCTTGAGTTCCCTCTTCTCTTCCTCACTGTTGTGTCGTTTGGGCTGTTTCGCTGTGTCTGCAGTTACAGCTAGAGGAGTTATAGCCACTTATGCTAACATGCTACTGTGTTAGCAGCGTTGTAGTGGCTAGAGGACGCGACCTCGTTCTGTGATTGGAGGAGAGCGAGCCTCACACTAAAAGTCATCTCAGCACTTTGAATGGCCTAAACTCATGCTTATGTTGAATCAATGAGCTCAAGTTTTCAATTAAATTACAGCTTTTAATACAACTTGTATGTAGTTATACGGATTTTTATAAACTCAATCCGGTATAGCTGCTTTATTACATATCCATCCATCTGATACTTCTGACATTCACTGCTCACTTTACCTGCTGATATTATCACTGATGTCTATTCTGCTTATATTCTGCGCTGCGAAAGAACAATATACACATCTGTAAATACTTCTGAACCAAGTGCAACTATAGCGCCAGAGTTTATTTCATCTTATTTTACCATCTCATTATCTTGTTTTAATTATCTTAAATAATAGACTGTTTGATGTGTGCGTCTGAATATCATTTCTGTAATGTGTGCAACAATGACACTGACATTTCTCCACTGTGAGACGAATAAAGGAATATCTTCTCTGTCTGTACAAAATAATGTGAACAAAAGATAATGTGACATGAAAGACCTTTTTACGCTTGATTGATCTCCTACATAATGTTGATGAGAGACTTTGTTAATGAAGAGGCGAGAGGGGTTTAATGTGCTTTTATTTTGATTATATTGATTCTGTTCAGTGTCACTTCATGTTTGTTCTGTTGATTGCCTGCCCCGCCCTCATGTGTTTCACCTGTGTGTGTGTGTGTGTGTCCCTGTGTGTGTGTGTGTTTGTGTGTCCCTGTGTGTGTGTGTGTGTGACCCTGTTTGTGTGTGTTTGTGTGTCCCTGTGTGTGCGTGTGTGTGTGTCTCTGTGTGTGTGTATGTCCCTGTGTGTGTGTATGTTGTCCCTGTGTCCCTGTTTGTGTGTGTATGTTTGTGTGTGTTTGTGTGTCCCTGTGTGTGCGTGTGTGTGTGTCCCTGTGTATGTGTATGTGTGTCCCTGTGTGTATTTAAACCCTTCACTCTTCTCCCCTTGTTGTTGGTCAATTGTGAGTTAAAATTTATATTTTTGTCAGTCCTGCATTTTGGGTCCTTCCTCCTTTTCAAAACGTGACACCTCAGGCCCAAAAGCCAGTGCTCTACCAGCTCAAAGGAGAGGAGTAACCCCACAGGAGGTCAATGTGGAGTCGCTGCTCCCCCATGTTGAGGGGAGTCATCAGTTAAATACAACATTAAGGCTAAAAATCTTAGATTGTCAGTCAAGCTGCATATGGAGCCCCCTGCTGGAGAAGTATGGTAACTTGAGCACTATCCTTTCCTCCTTCCTACTTTATCTGTCTGCAGTGTTAGCATTTTGATTGTAGTCTGTTCATTGCTATTCACCTGTTGTTCCATTGTCCATTGTTTCACGGCGAAACGACAGGACGTTAGCATGTGCAGATGTTAGCGTGTGCAGGCGTCCTAATCTCTGCAGTTTCCATAGTTGTCCTCATAATTGACGTTTTCCAAGGCTGGAAAAATGTTAAAAACGCATCTGCGCATGTGTCAGCCGCCACGAGCCCCATTCATTTGATGAGTGCATTCAAAAGTCCACAGCGACTAAACTAGAGTGGTCCAAGGAAAAACACTCCCCTCAGCATTGACAGCATCTGGATCGTAGCTTTGGACCAAGAGCCGACTTTTGGACCATCCTGTGAAGACGTTTACGAGAGGTAAGAATATACGTACATTAGCACTGAATAATTCTTATTCCGGGTCCACCCCCATCGGCCCGGGGTGGTATTGCAAGCATGTCCGCGCACGTCATTTTGGACATTTTTGAGCCGGGATCCGCCCCCACTGGTCCTCAAAGAGCCTTCACTTTCTGAAATTTGACTCACAGAACTTTTCGCCAGAGAGGAGCTTGGGTGTCAGCCGCTACCCACGGATTGAGTTATGACCGGTGTGTGTGTGTATGCGAGTCTATGAATGTATGTGCATGTGCGTGTGATTCTATGTGTATGTGTGAGTCATTGTGTGTATGTATTTTTGTGTGTGTTTGCATGAGCGTGTCTGATTAAGTATATAAGTGAAGGTGTGTGTAACTGTAGGATTATTGGACCATGACACACTCGTAAACAGCGGGTGGCTTCTGTAATAGATCGGCCCTCACTCCCTCTCACCACCCCCCCCCCCCCCCCCCCCCCAGGCAGGAGACAACAGTCACATTTGTGGCTGTTTAAATATAGAGCTGTATTTCCAGAGAAGGAATTCTGCACGAGGGACTTTTTTTAGAAATGGCACATTTCAAGGATGTTCCATTTTGGGACCGAGACATAAATACATCCTGTTCCTGATGGACGCTGGAAGCCTTTCCTTTATACCAGGGGTGTCCAAACTTTTAGCTTTTAGCCTCAGCTCACTCCTCACCTGTCCCTTTAGCTTTAGCTTCAGCACTGTCAGGATTTGGATGTTTTCAGTATTAACATATGTAAGACATGTCTTTACTGAGCTGAAGTTGGCTGAATGTGCTATACAATCAAAAGTTTGGACTTGATTATCAGTGTCAGTCTTTTCACAGGTCATATTTAGTCAGAAGAAGTCTTTGGTTTCATTCAGACTGTGTTTGATTGTTTAGAATCAGGAATTGTATTAATAATCTGTTATTTGGCAGATTATCGATCAGTTGTTTTGATCCTACAGCTCAGTGAATATGGGATTATTCTCCATTTGCCCAAAGCTCCAGTGATGCCCTATATACACAGAGATGATTTATAATACTTTTTAAACACATTTTCATTTCATTCTAATGTTTTAGAATTATGTAAGAGTGTGTTTAAGCCCTTTACTAAACTCCTGGACACGAGTCGCAAAGACTTTGTTGTGGTCTTTCTGCAAAACAATTGAATTCTTAACATTTGTGGTTGTAACAGTTCGAGCTGCAGAGACACTTCTGTGGCAGGAAAACCAGATTCTGTCAGACCTCTGAAGTTAGGCCTTCAGGCAGGACTGAAGCCACAGCTGCCCAGGGAGAGCAGTAGTTTATCACCACTGTGTATGAAGTGAATTCATATTGTCATGTCTTTAAGAATCCAAAAAGCTCAATATATAAATAACGGATGAATTATTATAATATATTTTTTTAAATAACTATTCTTATCATTATCATTTCATTATTCATCATGGTTTATTATTATTATCATTAGTACTTTTACAGGGCACGACATGTTATTATTGTAGAGTAACACTGCGCCATGAGAGCCTGTACCATGAGAGCCTGTACCATGAGAGCCTGTACCATGGGACCATGACGCCATGAGACCACGAGACCATGACACTATGGTTAGTTTTAACTCAGACAGACAGATTAGTCCATCGTGAGACTCGCCGACAGTCCAGTGTTGTCCCTGTGTGAGTCCATAGGCATCCAGGCCTCACCTCTGACCTCTGACCCCACCCCCAGAGATGACATCACCGCTGGGAACCCGAGAAGACCTGGTTCCTGGAGAGAAGAGCGTCTGCACATTGCACTCGGAGATGATTTAGTGGAACCCAGAGGTCCTGAACCCCAGGAGGCGACAGTCATGTTGGATTTTACTGTCATTCCAAAGTCTATATATCAGACCTGGGCAAAATGCGGCCCGGGGGCCATATACGGCCCTCAGACCTTTTTCCATCCACTAACGTCATACTGTCTCCCACTGTTTAAATGAATGGGAATCAATGAGTGCTACAATGGCATGTTATAGCTCATGATCATTCATCCAGAAAAGTAATCCATCCACAGAATATAGCCATTTAAAATTCGTAAATTTAAAGACAACAAAAAAGGACATCCATATTTCATAAAATAATTTCCTTTGACACCATCTCTTATTTTAAAAGGCTCAATCAAATCCTTTTCCTTTTATTTTGTAAACACTTTTGTTTATCAAATTTTAACATTTTTGTTACATTTTAACTAAAGTAGCTCACACATCCCCCTGGATGTTCAAAGGGGTATTTTGAAAGTGGTTTTCTCCTGAAGTCGATGATCATCTCTTTGGTCTTACTGGTGTTCAAGCACAAGTGGTTGCGCTCACACCAGTCGACAAAGTCTGTGATAACCGACTGATATTCCAGTTCGTTCCCCTCAGACACACAGCCCACGATGGCGGCGTCGTCGGAGAACTTCTGCAGGTGACAGCTGTGTGTGTCGTGTGTGAAGTCTGAAGTGTAGATGGTGAAGAGAAACGTTGAGAGGACAGTGCCCTGAGGGGCCCCAGTGCTGCAGACGACCACCTCAGACTCACAGCTGCGCAGCCGCACGTACTGTGGTCGCTCTGAGAGGTAGTTGATGGTCCATGCAGTGAGGCTACTGTCCACTCCCGCGTCCTCCATCTTCCCCCGCAGCAGTGCCGGTCTGATGGTGTTGAAAGCTCTGGAGAAGTCGAAAAACATGACCTTCACAGCTCCCCCTGCAGGTTTCCACAGGACAGGGACCTTCTCCAGGCTGAGGCTCAGGTTGTACATGTGGCTGAGGTCCTCAGCAGCCTGGGACGGATCCCGTCCGGTCCTGCAGATTTCCTCTGCTTCAGTTGCCTCAGCTCACTCCTCACCTGTCCCTCATCTGGTCCTTACCTGATCCTATCCTGGTCCTTACCTAGTCACAACTTGGTTCGGTGTGATGGAGAGGGGGGAGTGGGAGGGCGACCCTAATCCTTTAGACCCACTGTTCCTTGCAGACAATCCTGTTCAATTCAAACTTAAAGTTTTTTACAAAGTCAAGTCATTGGAGAACCGGGCACAGGGACCAGGACACGGCCAGGACCAGGGCCTAGGGCCAGGCCCAGACCAGGACCATGACGTAACGAGGACAAGACTAGGACATGGGTTGAATGTTTGTTGAATTACGGTTGGCTTTGTGAGAAAATTAACTTTAAGAAAAGATAAGATCACACCGCATTGATCTCACAGTTGAGAAATGTTCATGTTACATTTGGCTCCAAAAATATCAAAGTGCAAATAGCAGGAAGTGATGTAGAGTTGTGTCAGTCCAGCAGGGGCCGAGGCGGTGCAGAGGTGCAGTCTTATGGTGCTTTCAGACCGGTGCCGGAAGTAGCCGGCAGGTTCTGATGCTAACAGAGTTTAGCTAGCGGCTTCTTGTGTACAGATCTTCTCCAATATGCAGCTTTGCAGCGTGTCTTTGAACAGAGACCTTCCACGGGCTTTATATAACAGTAGCATGTGTTCATGGAGGTGCGCCATACGTGTTTTCATATTATTAAACGGTATTTCTGGGGTCACGTGATGGCGGCGAGGTGAATGCAACGTTTTGACCAGGGCTCCGTGCCGCTCACGTAATTATCCTGTCTTCAACCGCATATTGGAAGTTATTATGCTATGAAAGTCGCGTGTTATGTCCTTAGAAAGCTTCCGGCCACAATCATTTAACAAAATGAAGAAAAGCCGTGCAAACAAAGTTGCTGAGGGCACTCAAGATGGAGGTCAGGCTGATTCTGACATACCCGATGGATTAGACCCTGCTCTTGCTAAAGCGCTCAGCCGTATGAAGGCCAATATTATAAAAGTTATTGATGAAAAACTTAGTCCACTGGCTGAGACTATTCTCAAACTGACTGCCAGTAAACGGCTTGACGAAGCAGAGGCCAGGCTGATAGCTACGGAGGAGGCAGCTGCCGCGCATGAGCCCCGTATTATTGAGCTGGAAAAGCAGGTCAGTGCCTTGAAGAACAGTCTGGACATGGCGGAAAACTACAGCAGGCGCTTAAATATTTGTGTCATTGGCCTGGCAGAAGATACTGAGAAGGGACAACCGGTGGATTTCTTTGAGACATGGCTGCCCAATGTGTTAAAGCTGACCACCAAAGCCGGGCGGGTAAAGCTCGAAAGAGCCCACCGCTCCCTCGCACCCAAACCAGACCCAGACAAACGTCCCAGATCGCTACTGCTCCGGTTCCACTCATTCCGAGACGAGCAGAGAGTGATGGAAGCGGTGCGCAGAGCCAGCCATGACGGTGGTTTGATCCACAACGGATCAGACGGTCATTCTTCAGTGATTTTTCCTCTGCGGTGGTGAAGAGACGTAAAGAGTACGATGCGGTGGAACAGCTGCTGTGGGAGCGTGGATTTCCTTCTGCCATGTTGTTCCCAGCTACTCTCCAGGTGACCCATGGAGGCTCCGGAAGGAAATTCACTACACCGGGGGAGGTTCACGACTTCATAGACACGCTGTCTGGATGACATTTCACCGCAGCTCATTGCGGTTTACTTGTATCCTCTCACGCGACAGTTGTTTTTCATTTTACCATTGTTGTGATGTTTGTACTTCCACAATACCGGTAAGCTACACCCGTTCTCTTTTTCTGTGACATTCCATGTCGAGTGGCGCGGCTGCCCGTGGATTGAAAACATTCTATATACTTTTTCACTGTTGTGAACCTGAAAGTTGTTCGTATGGCGGACGGCCCCCGTCTCTCTGGGGAAGGACCTCTGGTTTATTTTTGTTTTGTGCATTGCACTTGTTGTGTGTGTGTAGTTCAGTTTGTGTGTTTCGCTCAGGACATGTGCAATATTTAATAACCCTGTTGATGTGGCATTCTCTTCCCCCCTTAATGTACGTGCTCTAGGTTTTTTATTATATGGACCATGTAACATATGCACTAAGTAAAAAAGGGGCTGCAAAACAGGCTCACGCTAACTACCTTTTCATTATAAAGTCTGGGACTCATACTTGAAAGAAATTGGGCCTATATTATCTTCCCCCATTACAAGGTTATTCTGATTCAGTCTTATCGGTCTAGGTCAAGCCAACTGGGACTTCCAGTCAACTGAAGGATTTTCTACCTGTGTACCTTTACTTTATCTTTTTATTTTTTTATTTTGGCAGTGGCTCCTGTGTATTTCATGTAGGGAGTGGGGTTTGGGGGGTGAGGAGATGCCAAATTGTATTATCTCTTTGTTATTTTAAATCTTTGTTGTCCTGTTGTGCCTGAGCTGTTTTTTGTGTTTTCTGTTTGTTTTAAAGGAAAAATCCAATAAAAATGTTGTAAAAAAACAAAAACAAAATGGTATTTCCGCATCGACGAACACACTCAAAGCAGTTGCATAAGGTCACGCATGACAACGCATATTTTCAATGTCCCCCATTGTCAACCCTGGTTTGAGTTCTGGTGAAGCCTGGTGTGGGTCCTGTTTTGGCTGTTTACAGTATTTTCAGTCTGCTCGCTCAGTCCGCTAATGTCCCCGTGACCACTTTGCTGCTCTCTGATTGGTTGTCGCACGAATGTCCCAAGGAAAGGATGAGCAGAATCCATCTCCTGTGGGCGTGGATTTTTTGCTCCTGCTCCTCCCCTTTGACTTTCCCGCCAAGTCCGTGCGTGTCTACTGAACAGTCTGTCCGTGCGAACCGAGAGGTCTGTGCGTTGTGACGCTCGAACGCTTGTCACCGTAGACTTTGCATTGAAACACGACGCAACGCATGATCCGGTCTGAAAGCACCATTAGTGCAGTTCGGTTCAAACATTACATTATATTTGATGTTTTCAGTGGACCAGAAGGACAGTCTTTTTGGGGCTTTGCAGGAAGTTAGAAATGTGTGAAATGAAACAGGAACAACGAAGCAGAGGTGGAAAAACACACACAGCCCACTTCCTGATCTGCTGAAGCCTCTATCGCCCCCTATGGCTGTCGGCCTCACACACAGATGATGTCACATGTTCTGAGAGAGCTCTAACTTTAGACCTGCGTTCTGTGACTTCACCACCGGCTGTGTAGAGCAGGCAATTTGACTGTAATGTAGTGACTCAGCGTATGTATATTTTTGCTCTTCATAAATGTGTGTGTTTCTGTATCTAGTTTATTTATCTACTTTACTTTTATGAATTGTTTTATGTTTGAAATGTGATCAGTTCTTTTAACTGTGTTCCTGATATGGAACAAAACAGAAATAACCTGCTCTGTGCCTCATACTAAGAATACAGCATGAATAATAATCTAAACACCATGATGATATTTCATGTCTGTAACTGGACTCTGCGGATTCAGCGGACTACACTACAGACTTTTCTGTGAGTTACTAAACGTTTCCACTTGATTACTGTAAATGTTTATTGTGTGTTTTCATGGTGAAAGGATTAAACAGCATTAAGCACATTCACATCATGACTCACTATTCTTAAATCCAGTCTCCTGGCCTCTGGAAAAGCCATGTTCCAGCTTCTTCCCTCTGGCATGAGCTATGGTTAGCTGCAGGACATCTGGATATGCTAACATGCTGACAACAACTTATCAATCTGTTATCTTTCGGAACAAAGACTTTAATGATCCTGTATTGAAGCTTTTTTTTGTGGATTGATTTCACATTTGGTTTTGAGGCTTGTTTTATGTCAGTGCCTGTCTCAGGATGTTCTGACCCGATCCGAGCTTAGTCCAACTACTGTCACAAGCATCAACTAAACTTATTCAGGGAAAAAGCCCCAAATAAAACACACACATAATCTCTAGCGTGATGAATGTTCTGTTTTCTTACCGTGATGATACAGCGCCTGGTGAAAGCTATTAATCTGAGCTTTCAGCCGGATCTTTTCTCTTCTCACCGCGTTTGTAAAACTGTATTTTATAATAGATCAATGGTAAAGCACCAGAACCTCTGCAACGTGTGCCGCTTCACATGCTGACTTTGTTTACATGTCCACCTCCGTGCATGTGCGTCAAGGCACATTTGTGGCGCGGTCGTGTTTGGGGAGATCCGGTCATTGATCAGACCAAAGGATTCTTTCCTTAGTGGTCTGGTGAACTACCGGGTGTTACCTCGGAGGCTTCCTAGTGTTGGTGGTAGAAGTAGACTTGCAATATATGATCTCAACGCTAGATGGCAGTAAAAAAACAGTGTACCTTTAACTGTTTTTCATTCTGACTGAAATGAATGAGTGCATGAAAGCCACACGCGTATTTTTGGCGCAACGCATCATGGGAGCTCGTCCACCGCACAGAACCGGGAGGACCAGACGATGCACAAATACAGTATAGGTGAGTTCCGCTAATCTTTCGGTCCTTCTGTATGTCCCATGAGCTACTGAGCACAAGCCATTCATTTGAATAGTGCGCCATCTTAGATCGCCGGGGCTTGGTCATCATAGATAAATAGATAGATAGATACTTTATTGATCCGTGTAGGAGAAATTCAGGAGTCAAGCAGTAGCAAAAATAAAAAATAAAATTGATGAGTCATGTCTCTGGTTTCCTGAGTCTGGGATGAGTCTGTGAGACTCAGATTAACGTCGGACAGCTTTGTAAAGTGCTCAGAGATAACTGCTGTTATGATTTAGGATGATACAAGAATAAAATTAATTGATTTGAACAACGAACTTCATGATTAATTCATGTGACTCTCTCATATGAAGTGTTAGTGAAAGAATGATTCATGTAGTTATTCCAAAGGTTTGTGGCCCGTCTCTGGCAGCTGTGGCTGTAAACACTGAGGTACAGTTGGCGCGGAGCATGTGAAAGTCAGCAGCTCATAAACACAGTATGACACATGTCACAGGGACAGTCACTCTGACACATGAGAGCTCAGCTGACATGGCCCCAGCTAACCATATAACTCTGTATATTCTAGATCAAAAATACACACGTCTGTACATGTTCGCAGCACGAGTCTGATCGAAGCTACATTAGACGTGCTTGACACTCACAACTCCACACACAGTGTTGATAAAACCTTATCATCTGAAAATAGATCATTATATAAAGTTCACTTGGCTCTAGGTCCAAATGAACACAAAAAAGACTGTATTTGTCCTGACTAGAACCAGGAAGTCCTCTCACATTAGTCCTGGTCTCAGGTCTCTGTTTGCTATTAGTCTCTCCATGGCCATGCACAGGAACTGGCCTCGTACCGGGACTCTGAGGAGCACAGGGACTGGCCTCCTGCTGGGACTCTGAGGAGCACAGGGACTGGCCTCCTGCTGGGACTCTGAGGAGCACAGGGACCAGCCTTCTGCTGGTCCCAGGTGTTTCATAACTTAGAACGGTCTTCCTGAAAATGTGAGACAAAGCCCAGTTGTGTTTATCTGTGCAAACAACTGAATGATTGGATCTTCACTATTGGTAATGTACTGTGTCATACAAATAAACTTACCTAGCATTCTTTAAACTAATGACCACATGAATCACCCAGCTCCAAGTTTCACAACTCACTTACAGTAAGACGAGAGTGGCCACAAACGGGACAGTAACATGATCACAGCCTCACAGTTCTGAGAGAGGTGTGACCACTATATAAACACATCCACCAGGGACGCCACCAGAGGGACCAGAGGGAGCAGAGAGAGCAGAGACACCAGAGAGAGCAGAGACACCAGAGAGAGCAGAGGGAGCAGAGAGACCAGAGGGACACCAGAGAGAGCATAGAAAGCAGAGGGAGCAGAGAGAGCATAGAAAGCAGAGACACCAGAGAGACCAGAGGGACACCAGAGAGAGCAGAGGGAGCAGGACCTTTGGACAAGACCAGAGACCAGAAACCAAAGAGACCACAGTGAGCCAGAACGCTTGGATAGGACCAGAGACTAGCGAGCCCAGACACCAGAGAGACTACAGACTACAGACCAGAGACACCAGAGAGACGTTTTGTCCAGGACCAGAGCGAGACAAGATCATGGGACTGCACAGTGTGGAGGAGCTGGTAAGGACACAGACAACAGCAATCTGCATGAATGAGTTACGGTTCTTTTATCTAATCTATTAAAGCTGGGGTACCTAACTTTTAATCCACACACATTGTATCTGTGAAATAACCTCCATGGCTCCAACACTGGGCTGATCGATCTATCAGCTTCTCTTTCAGAAAGTGAAAAATACAGGACTCTAGCGACAGCGGTGTACAATGTATTTTTGAAACCATGAGAAATGTAGGTACCCCAGCTTTATTTTTATTTTGGTCACGTGCACATTCACATAGATCAAGGACGGACCAAGGCTTTGTGCTTTTGTCAATGAAGTGAATGTGTTATTACAAAGAGATAGGGACAAACTGTACAGACATTTAAGACAGAAAGACATGATTTAAATTCATTTGTGCGTCCAGGCCCTAAACCGTAACAACATTACTTCTGAATTTCTCATTGTGAGAAGTTCTGTTTCTCTCAGCTCATAGTGACTGAGTGTGTGTCTGAACGGTGTGTGTGTTGGTTCATTATGAGCTGTGAAGCAAACTGATTTTGTTTTAGTGTTGTCCTGCGTTGCTTCAGGTAACTGGGACGAGACTGGACGGGAAGGAGGCGGAGCAGTTCCCTGGGGGCGTGTACGAGGCAGCTGTCAATCAGGAGAAGTGCGACGATCGGAGGTCACATGGTGCTCTGGTGGGCGGGACTCTGAGCGAGGAGAGCGACAGTGGAGGAGAGCCGGAGGAGGTCAGCGTGGCCGGACTTCACGTAAGAGAATGTTACAGACTGCATGTTTTAGGTCAGGGCAACTCTAACCCTATATTGTATTAGACCAAATATCTTATGAAAAACGAAGCTCAGTGAGTCACTATTCTCTTTGATTGAAAAAGGAGCACTTCCTGATAAAAAAACACTGAGGCTGTCTTGCACAGTTTTTCCAAAGTGGTTTTACTGCAAATGACAAATAAAATCTTGTATCTTGTTGTTGTAAAGACGTGACAGAGGCCCATGTGATTGATTGTTTTAGAGCAAAGAACGAGTGGCATGAGATGGATTCCATAATATTTGTGGTTTAAAAGTTACGCACCCCAGCTTTAATAGTCCTCAGTGATATTCATATTATAAGCATTTCATGTTTTAATGTAAACATATATATATATATATATATATATATAATCTATTCATTCAACATAAAATATAAGAATGATGCATGAGGAAATGGTAGGAATTGGTTTTATCTCTTGGTATAAGAACTGACTGCAGTCTAATGTAAGGCCAGCAGGGGAAAGAAAGGGCCCTTTGAGTCCCAAAGTCCCACCGGGCTGAGGGGTGAGAGCTGAAATGTAAACCCCTTTAAGTTCTGTCTGACCGACTAGTTTAGAGTGGGCAAGGTGCACAATGACAAACCTGGCAACATGACAGACAGACCATTGAGTGCTCATCCAATGAAAGAAATGGAGAAGGAGGCGCTCTGGAAACTATGTTCTTTTTCAATTTTAACCACTGCGTTTCGACAAAAGTCTTTGTCAGGGCAGTGAGTGTTTTGACCACGACTTTTTACATTTTTTTTCATTTTATTATATTTTTATTTATGCATTTTGTAAATATTGCGTGGTTATGTTGTGTTCCCATGACGCCTCAAATTTGGACAGTGTCAAATGCGACACTCACTGCCCTGACGAAGACTTTTGTCGAAACACGTTGGTTCAAATTGAGTGCCTCCTCCTTTTCTTTCATTATGACAGACAGACCGACCCACGGCACACAAACAAACACACACACACACACACACACACACACACAGACACACACAAACACAGTTCTGCTCACAGCTGTGTTTCCTTCAGACTGATGAAAGCGGGAGGCTTCGTTTGGAGACAGTGGATGATCTGTTCAACATCCTGCAGCTGAGGAAGAGGAGGAGAGAGAGGAAGGCCCCCAGCCGCAAGAAGCCACAGCCTGCTCCAGAGGCCCTGGTAACTGACCCTGATGCACTGGTGACTGACCCTGATGCACTGGTGACTGACCCTGATGCACTGGTGACTGACCCTGATGCCCTGGTGACTGACCCTGATGCACTGGTGACTGACCCTGATGCCCTGGTAGGTGGTGGTTCAGTGATGTGATTGTGATGAATCTGTGTTCTGTTGCAGCCGGTGTTCGTGGACCAGGACATGTTCCTGAACGCTGCAAAGGAAAAAAAGGTCCCAGTGGTGGAAAAGTATCTGTCTGACGGAGGAGACCCCAACGCTACAGACACAGTGAGACACTTTCCATTTAAAGCTGGGGTACCTGACTCTCAAAACACCAAAAAGGGAACTATGCTATCCAATCCACCAGTCCAGACCCTAACCCTGGCACCAGTTCAGACCCCAACCCTGACACCAGGTGTGACACCAGTTCAGACCCTAACCCTGACACCAGGTGTGACACCAGTTCAGACCCTAACCCTGACACCAGGTGTGGCACCAGTTCAGACCCTAACCCTGACACCAGGTGTGGCACCAGTTCAGACCCTAACCCTGACACCAGGTGTGGCACCAGTTCAGACCCTAACCCTGACACCAGGTGTGACACCAGTTCAGACCCTAACCCTGACACCAGGTGTGGCACCAGTTCAGACCCTAACCCTGACACCTGGTGTGGCACCCGTTCAGACTCTAACCCTGACACCAGGTGTGGCACCAGTTCAGACCCTAACCCTGACACCAGGTGTGACACCAGTTCAGACCCTAACCCAGGCTGCTGACTTTTAATAATAAAGACAACAAAAACATAGTTTAATGGGATTCTCTCGTGTGTGTGTGTGTGTGTGTCAGTTCCAGAGAAGCGCTCTGCACCAGGCCTCCTTCAGAGGTCACACAGATGTCATGAAGAGGCTCCTGGACGCGGGAGCTGCTCTGGAGAACACAGACCAGGTACCATCAACACAGACCAAGTCCTAGCCACACAGACCAGGTACCATCAACCTAAACCAGGTACCATCAACACTGACCAAGTACCAGCCATGTTTCCCAACCATGTATTCAAACAAAGGACAAATTACCAGGGGGTAAAAGAGCTGGTCCCAGTTTACTGTGCTAAAGTGCTAATAAAGGTGCGTGTGTGTGTGTCTAAGTTGGATGCCACAGCGGTGCACTGGGCCTGCAGAGGGGGAAGTCTGTCCGCACTGCAGCTCCTCATCGAGCGGGGAGCCAGTTTCAGCTCCAGAGACAAGGTACCACACAGACACACACACACACATACACACACGCATACACACATACACGTACACATACGCATAAACACATCGCTGCTATGTTGAGTTGAGTCGATCCGTCGAGTTTGTCTGCCGCACTTGTCAGTTTATTGATGTATGGGGAGTATCTCTAACTCAACAGCCGCTAGGTGTGTGTCCAGGTGTGTGTCCTGGTGTGTGTGCTGGTGAGTGTCCTGGTGAGTGTGCTGGTGTGTGTCCCTGTGAGTGTTCTGGTGTGTGTCCCTGTGTGTGTCCTGGTGAGTGTGCTGGTGTGTGTCTTGGTGTGTGTCCCTGTGTGTGTCCTGGTGTGTGTGCTGGCGAGTGTCCTGGTGTGTGTCCTGGTGTGTGTCCCTGTGTGTGTCCAGGTGAGTGTGCTGGTGTGTGTCTTGGTGTGTGTCCTGGTGTGTGTCTCTGGTGAGTGTTCTGGTGTGTGTGTGTTGGTGCCCCCTGCTGGACACCCTTATGCTGGAACATAGTGTTGGTTATGGACTAACTAGCACAGAAGCCCAACAACTGACCACTGCTCGGGTTTAGATCAGATCCAAGAGTCACTGACGTCTCTAACATGCGTGTTGAAGTCCACCAACCCTATAGCCTAGCGTACATCGACAGAGTAACTGGAGACAACTAGTTGCAAGGCGGCTTTTGGCAACTGAGAGTAGATGATGGGAGATGATCATTTGTGAGCGCTCTTACAACTGGAGATAAACAGTCGATCTCCGGATTCAGTCAGTTGCCCGTGTTCTACTTTTTCGGCAACTAGTTGTCCTCAGATCCGGAGATATCACCCGATGTGCGCACTCCTAACTGAATGTAGTTGAGGCCAGTTGCTGTCGATGTACGCGCTGTTATTCCCGAGACTGGCCTGCAACTAGGAGTTTCCCATTTCGCCACATTGTCGATGTGTGCGGGGCAACAACTCATATGCAACGGATATAATCAGTTGCCAGTCCAATGTACGCTAGGCATAACCCATGGGAATACCTCTATGAGAGATAAACAAGAAGAAAGAATTATTTGCAAATTACGGAGGAATATATGTCCATCATAATGCTTCTCTTCACAAGGTTTACAATCTTCACAAGGTTTTCACACGCTGTTATCGGTATTTTGGCCCATTCCTCATGTCACTGACTTTCAACTCCCTCCAAAGATGTTCTATGAGGTTGAGATCTGGAGGCTCCAAGACCTTGTTGATCTCATGATACATAGCCCCATACATTATTTCACTCACACAGATCATTCGTCCTGGTCTCTTTAAAGAAAAACAGCCCTAAAGCATGACTTCCCCACCCCCATGCTTCACAGTAGGTCTGGTGTTCTGTTTCCTGCTGAAGCCGTTTCCTAGAGAGCATTTGGAGGATCCAGAAGAGGACCGGGAGAATGTGGTCAGATGAAACCAACATAGAACTTGTTGATTTTAACTCAACTCGTCATTCTTTCTCCTCAAAAGAACACCACACCTACTCTGAAGCACAGATGCATAAAAGTACCATAAATGACACAGTGTGTCTGACCACAGTTACAGAGCACGCCGCTCCATGTGGCGGTCAGGACCGGACACAGCGAGTGTGCAGAACATCTGATCCACTGTGGAGCCGACGTCAACGCCAGAGACCGGGTCAGAGCCCACTACAAACACCCTCACCCTGGCTCTAGCTTTAACTCTCACCATGACTGTGACCCTCACCCTGACCCTCAACAAAGTAACTGTAACTGTTCCGACTGTATTTTTGACAAAGCGACTGGAGTCAGTTCTATGTGTTTGACCGTGACTTTGTCGTGTCCAGGACGGAGACACCCCGATGCACGACGCCGTCAGAATCAACAGATTTAAACTTATCAAACTCCTCATGATGTACGGGGCCAGTCTGAACGCCAAGAACTGTGTAAGTAAGACACATGCGGACCCCTGAACCCTAACAGACCTTGATCCCTAACTGACCCCCAAATACTAACACCCCCACATGTGGACAGGCTGTACCCGATGAAGGGTACAGGGATCTTAACCCGCATCTGGTACAGATCCCTCAAGTACCCGAATAAAGGGTACAGAGCCTCCCATATTGTAAAACCAAAACCATCACCAGTAGAGTGAGGGTTAGAGTTCTGGACAGAGAACAGAGTACAGAGTAACTGGAGACAACTAGTTGCAAGGCGGGGTCGATGTGACCGCTCTTACAACTGGAGATAAACAGTCGATCTCCGGTTGCCCGTGTTCTACTTTTCGGCAACTAGTTGTACTCAGATCCGGAGATATCACCCGATGTACGCTCTCCTAATAGATCCATGGCGCGCTCCAACAACATGTGTGTATTGCGTCCTCTACAGTTTATGCCAGAAAACACACTGTAGTTGACGGCCAGATGCTGTCGATGTACGCGCTGTTATTCCAGAGACTGGCCTACTACTAGGAGTTGCCCGTTTTCGCCAGATTGTCGATGTGTGCGGGGCAACAACTCATATGCGACGGATATAATCAGTTGCCAGTCCGATGTACGCTAGGCATTATGTTCCGCTATGATGGAGATGTAGATCAGAGAGGAGGTCCAGGACCCACTGCAGGAGGTGTAGGTCAGAGAGGAGGTTAGAATGAATATGTTTACAACTCCCCGTCAGCAGAGATTCATGCCTACGTTCTTGTGACCCTTCAGGATGGAAAGACTCCTCTGGAAACACTCTACTCGTGGCAGAACGGAGCTAAGAGCCTGTTGTGCAGCGAGGAGAAGGCTGGCTGCTGACAGGTCTCTGAGAAGACTGAGACTCCAGAACCTTCTGTGAGGACTTCCACAGGCTCTGAGCCCCCTCTGTGTGACGACTTCCACAGGCCCTGAGCCCCCCTTGTGTGAGGACTTCCACAGGCCCTGAGCCATCACTGTGTGAGGCCTTGTGAAGGAGACAGGAAGAGAAGGCGCTGTATGATTAGGTCCTATTCATGATATGAAGGACATTTACTTTTGTGCATGAAAATGTATTGACATTCTTTACAACTGTGTGAATTCAATGAGATTATGCCATTTTAGATTCGGGTACAAGTCAAGCATGATGTATTTTTCCAATTTTATTTCACCATTCATGCCTCTGTACTTAGTGTTATTAACCTGTATATATTTGAAAACTTTGTGTAATAGGTCTAGACAGCAGTGTGTTCTCTTAGTGATACAGAGAAGGGACTCGTGTAGATCAGAACCATATCACAGACGAGGGCTCCGAAGGACAGGCCTTTTAAAACAACCACGGTACATCTTAATGTATGGTAAATTTTGCTGCATCATAATGATCCATTTATTTATTTATGTATTTGAAGCTGCTGTTAGTCAGCTGAATTAGGTGATTCCATGTCATTTTTATTTCCTTTTCTTTGTCATTTATTTACCTGTAATTGAAGAGTAGTGTTTTCAGGATCTGTTTGGTCATGTTTGATTTGATGGGATTGGATTTGACTGCGTTTAGAAAGGACAGAGCACGTTGTTGGTTCTAGGAAAGTTTCTTTTGGAAAAAATATAAATAGTGATCAGCAATCCAGACTTTTTGGCTTGTAGAAATTACTCCTAATTGCTAACTTGTTCCACAGGCGCCAAGATTCTATTGACTTAGCTGAAGGGGCAGAGAGTAGAGCCGTATAGCAAGATTAATGGTGAAAGTGTGCCAATTTGTCTCTTTGTGTCTTCAAAATTAAAGGTGATGTACACAATTTAAATTGTATTTCATTTCTAGAAGGATGTGTATTATGGGCACTGCACCATTATATCAGTCATTATGAACCAATGATGTGGAGCCTTAAGGATTTGAATGAATCTCGACCAATCAGGAGGCTGCGGGGCAGAGCATGAGTGGGTCTAACCAAAACAGTTTTCACATGTATAACTTCTTCATGTGGCTTCTGTCACATGAAGAAGAGAACCACCCTCACTCAGCCCAAAGCATCAAATAGTGACTGTTCTCCTACAGTGGTGTTTTTGTGTTGTGTTACTAAACCTGTGTTAGTATTAGATAGCAATATGGCCTACGTGCAGGACTGTACAAGGACTCTACAAGGATTCCATGTTATGACTATGATGTGACTGTCTCTTTGTGACACGTACGTCTTTCGATGTGTGACGTGACAATGACTATATAAACTGTGTACTGCCTTTATTCTGTCTGAGAGAAAGAAACATTGTAAACCATTGGAACTTGAGAGAAACTTAAATAAACTTCCAGAGTTTGGCGCACCACAATCCGTCTCTGTCTGCCTCATCCCTGACAGATTTGGTGGAGGATGTGCGGCTCAGTGTGTGCCATTCTCTGGATTGTTTTGAGGGAGTTTTCTTTGTTTCTTTTTCTCGGCGTGGGAGAGCTGAGAGTATCTGGGGCCTGGGAGCGGTCCAGCAGGCTGGAGAGGCGACCGGCTCCGGGACTTTTTCGCTCTCTCACTATATATTTTTTGTGTCCTCTTTTTTGGACTGAGCGTTTAAAATTGTTTTCCCATGTCCACATTCTGGGGATTTTTGACGTGCGATTGGTCTCTGTTGATGGAAACTAGTTCCCGGTACTAGTGAGCGCTGGTTCATGATCTGGAGACCTGGTTGGACGTGGAAAAGCTGATATTTGGTGGACTTCTGACGGTGCCTGGCGCCCTGTTCAACAAAAGGTAAGAGCGGACAAAGTCTGCTAATTGAGTGAACTAAATTTTGGTCTGTTTTGAGGTCTGCCAAATGTCATGTATCTATAGATCAGATTAGATTAAAAACAGGTTCGCTACCTGACGGGGTTAGAGTCCCTTTGAGAAGAAGTCTCGGGGTTAGAGTCCCTTTGAGAAGAAGTCTCGGGGTTAGAGTCCCTTTGAGAAGAAGTCTCGGGGTTAGAGTCCTTTTGAGAAAAAGTCTCGGGGTTAGAGTCCCTTTGAGAAAAGATAGAGAAGGATCCTTAGTGAAACCATGGTGTAAAATTAAAAGCAATTTTTAAAAAAGGGAAACGTGTTAAGGAGGCCTTTTGTCACAAAAAGTTTTGTAATTAACCAATTCCAAGCTTAATAAATGACAAAAGTAAAGAAGCAACAATATTTCAGTGATCACGGTTTAAATTACATACAGAAAAAAGGAGTTTTTGTTTTCGGCGTGAACAGAGTTCATCGGAGAATGCAGAGTTTTATCTAAAGTTGAGCTATGAGAGGGTTGTATCCAACAGTTGTTTTTGTTTTTTAGAAAGAGATTTTGAGTTTAAACTAGTTTGCTACCTCAATAAAATAGAAGCGTAAGGGAAATTAAACACTAAGAGTGCCTTTTGTTACTAGTGTGGAAATTGGCCATTGCTATACTTGGATGACAAAAGTATAAAGAACAACATCAGTTATATTTGCTTAAAAAAGTAATCTTGAAAGTTATTCTTCTTTCTGTTTTTTGCATTTTTGCTAAAACACTACTTTCTGTCTGTGTGTGTCGCGCACTATCTTGCTGCCGTTGTCAGGGGAAACGGCCCCCTCCTTTGCTACTCTGGCTCTGAATCAGAACAAAGCTACTGCTTTTAGGATTTTGGCTTTTCATAGTTGTTATTCCGTTAAATTTGCGAAATTTGCAATTGAGCATTGTGTTATGACACAGTTAAACGTTTTTAAACACATTAGTGAATACGTTTTGAATATTATATGTTTTTTGAAACCCAAAGATTAGTGCTAAAGCTGTGCAATTCTTTTTAGATCTAACATATTTCTAGATTCCATTCTTTTAAATCTGCTGCTTATTTCTTAACTTTTTGTGAGTTGTGTTTGTTTTTTATGTTTTTATTTTAGTTACAAAAGCCGTTTTTCAAACATTTAAATTAGAATCTGTGTAAAAAGTGATTATTGATTATAGACTTTGTCTAAAAAGAAAGAGGGAATTAGGATTAGCTGTAAAAGTATTATTAAGTTGAACTGTACCCAATTCACCCAATTCACATTCAAGTGGTGACTTTTGTTTTTGTTTTGACTACACGCGTGACCTTGCTCCTGCTGCTCCTGCTGCCCAGAGACAGGAGGAGGCAGCTCCGACGCACAATTGAGTTTTATTGAACCAAATCCAGTTTAGCTGGAGCTAAATCTTTTGTTTGATTTCAGGTTATGTTTTAATGTTTTCCAAAATAATTTCATTTTATGGCGCATTTTAAGAAACCCAAGGACGCCAAGATTAAAAACATCACACAGTACAGAAGTACAAAATAGAATACATTTTTTAAAGTTTAAAAGGTTGTTTGTTTTGAGTATAATTGTTGTTTTCATAACTTCTTTAGTTTCTGGTCCTAAAAATGTCATAATTAGTAAGATAATGAGTAATCTTTATTTACATAGCGCATGTTGAAAAGCCAAGAGCGCTCCAAAATTGTTTAGACTTTAGAGAGAAAAACAATCTCATTCACATACTGATATCTGCTGTTTTGATTTTGACTATAAGGTTGTGTTCCAGAACCAAGGGCACACACTGTACAGGGTCACTGGAAAGCAGGAGTGGACACTGGACAGCAAAGCCCACCCAGCACAGGTCACAGATCAAAGAGCAAAGGAAAATGCCACCTCCTTGCCCCTCCCCACGCCACTCCAGAGCTGAGTGGGTGTGAGAGAGACCGGGGTAGAGAGAGGTGTCTGGATACGTGATGGGTGGAGCATCAGGCAGAGACCTGAATGAGAGTTGAGAGTGTGTCCAGTTGGTTTACATCACCACAGTGTGACCTTTGAGACCTACAGGTGGTTCGAGGAGTCTGGAGACACAACCCCAAAATTCACACCCTACATACACACACACACACACATACACACACACACTCACACATTCACATTTACATATAGATACATGAAAAAGCAGAACATGAGAAAAAAGCATTTTAAAAGTTTACTCCAATGTAAACACATATTTTTAATTGTCTAATTTGAATCAGTATTTTTTGAGACCAGAAATGTTCATTTGAATTCTATATTGTCATGGACATAATTGACCTCTCCTGACACTTTTTATGTTTTGATTTTGTACTGTGTGAAGTAATTACATTGATTAGAATTAGATCTGATAAAAACACAAATTAGAAAAGTAAACTGAATCATTGCGCTTGCTTTTGTCTGAGGGACATTAGCAACAGCATGAATAGAAATTGTCTTTAAAGTAGAAACAAAGTGACTTAACCATAGAAAGTAACCATTGCATAACAAGCTGTGTACAGGAACTGAGACACTGCACCATTGACCAGAAGTGCATCGCAAATGACCTGATGTGCTTCAAGTGAAAAGACTGTATCTGGAGATCCTGATGGGCATCTGGAGAGACCAAAACCATGGCTTGGACCCTACTGATGTCCAAGATGACATCTCTCGAAATATGACCTGACCTGATGACGACTGAGACTCACCCTCAGGGGACCCTGAGGACCTGAGGATCTGAGAGAGAAAAACCTGAGAAGTGATTTGTTTGTGTAAGCCCTCAGTCGTACAGGGATTAGTCAAAGCAAAGGAAGGTTTCTCACCCATCATCTGTACTTCTTAGCAAGTTTTCCCGACGTTTCGTCCTCAACCTGGGGACTTCTTCAGGGAATGAATTCTCGGACCGCGCGTTGGAGATTTATAACCTATGGGTGTGGTAAGCCACACCCTAATCCTGATACTAACTCGTAAACAATCTCAGGTCTGCTTGATGTAGAAGGGAGCAGGTCTAACGACCCTGCTGAGGCTAACGACCCTAACTCCTTAGCATGTCACAGACCTATTGTCTGCTGGGATGCTCAAGTGGAGTGCAGG